TAGCCGTGTACACGGAGGACTACGGCACGCTGAACATCATCTCGGTATATATACCACCAACGGTGACTCTGCATATGGACGACATCACGCAAATCAGCGGAATGGGCGAGAGCATTGTCACCATAGGAGATCTGAACGCCAAATCTAGGATCTGGGGCTCGCGCACGAACAACAGACATGGCGAAATCCTTGCGAGGCTGATGGATGAACCGGAGTACTCCATACTAGGACCTGACGAACCCACGCTGTACCCAGACAACGGTACAAGGCCTGATGTAATAGACATTGCTATCTTGAAAAAGGTAGACGTGTCTTGCAACATTGGTGTTCTGCAAGAAGGAAGCTCTGACCACAACCCCATATTCCTGGAAATAGGAGAGGGAGCACCAAACGTGGAGAAGAGGATAGCCAGAAGAGTGAACTGGGACCGGTTCCGGCGAACCTTTCACTACTCACTCGGCCCACTACCTCAGATAGAGACTCCTGAAGGCATAGAGGAAGCAGTTCAGGGCCTAGAACGGAAGATCCAGGACGCGCTAGATGCTACTACCACGGTAGAAGACATCACGCAGCCCAATAGGTTCAGAGACCTACCCCCAGAGGTGAACCAGAAGATCACCGACAGAAACAGGGCAAGAAGACTAGCTCAACGAACAGGAGACCCAGAGCACAAACGAGAGCTAAAAAGGAAGACCGAAGAGATGAGAAAAGCCCTGATGGAGCACCATCAACGCAGCTGGCAAAGAAAATTAGAGGAACTAACACCAGGTGAGCCAGGAATGTGGAAGCTAGCGAAGATCCTGAGAAATCGCAGACAACAAGTTCCCCCGCTGCAAGGAGCCTACGGGACCGCGTACACGAACGACGAGAAGGTCGAAGCATTCGCAGATAACTTACAACGGCAGTGTACGACATACATGCACCCAGATGAGGACGAAGACTTCGTAGAAGAAGTGGAAAGAAGATCCAGAAGAGCTACGAGAGGACGAGAAATGGTGCAGCAAGCCACCTCCCCGACGGAAATCAGGGACATCATCAAGACCCTCAAGACCAGGAAAGCAGCGGGCTGCGACCGAATAGGGAACAGAATCCTGAAGAGGCTCCCGAGAAAGGGCATGGTGGCCATAACCAACATCGTGAACGCTATGCTGAGGCACCGATACTTCCCGGACAGATGGAAGATCGCGGAAGTAATAAACATCCCGAAGCCTGGGAAAGACCCAAAATTCCCACAAAACTACCGGCCAATCAGCTTACTAACTTCCTTGAGTAAAGTTGCAGAAAGGGCAATCGAGCGAAGACTTAGACAACAAACCGAGGACCTTAGAGTACTGCCAGACGAACAGTTCGGATTCCGGAGCGGCCATTCATCAGAGCACCAGCTGCTTCGGCTCGTGGAGTGTGGGACGCGTGCGTTCCAGGCTCGGCGAGTCGCGGGAGCGGTGTTCATGGATGTCGCGAAGGCATTTGACACCGTCTGGCACGACGGACTCATCTATAAGATGCAAGACAAGGGATACTCGACAGGGATGATTCAGCTGGTGAAGTCATATCTGAAGAACCGAAGATTCCGGGTTAGACTGGGAAACACCACCTCGACGACCAGAACTGCAGAGGCTGGGGTACCGCAGGGAGCGGTCCTATCCCCTCTACTATACGCCATCTACAGCTCCGACGTTCCGAAGACCCCAAATACGCAGCTGCTGATGTATGCGGACGACACTGCGTACGTAGCCGAGTCATTTCAGCCCCGCATGGCTACGACTTTCCTACAAAGAGCGACAACCAGTCTACAGGAATGGTGCAAGAAATGGAGGATCCAGCTAAATCCAGATAAGACCGAGGCGATGCTCCTCAGGAAGAGCCGCAAGACCCCTGAAGGCAACCTCAAGATGACGACCACAGAAGTGCTGAGAGGCCTGGTGCGTGACGAAGAAAAAGAGGTACAGTGGACAGACACCAGCAAGTACCTCGGCGTCAAGATAGATAAGGGTCTCACCTGGAAACACCATATAGAAGCCCAAGTGCAGAAAGCCAAGATGGCAAGAGCCAAGCTAAGACCGATGCTTGGAAGAAGGAGCAAGCTCTCCCTGAACAACAAAATGCTGCTGATCAAGATGGTGCTCCTACCGATTATGACCTACGCGTCAGTTGCTTGGGGCTACGCAGCCAAGACGTGGAAGAAGAAGCTCCAAGCACAACACAACATAGCACTCCGAGAAGCGGTCAACGCACCGTGGTACGTGCCAAACCGAGTGCTATACGAAGACCTGAGACAAGTGCCAGTGCTCGAAGTGATGAAGACCAGAGCTCGGAAGTTCTTCAACAACGCCGAAGAACACGAGAACCAGCTCATCAAGGCCGCCTTGGACTACGATCCAAGGTTCATACATAGGCACAAAAGACCGAAGAGCCAGCTGCTAGAAGATATGGGACACAGCAGCTGATGAGTCCTAAAGAAGAGGGGTAGAACCTCGCGAGGAAGGTACTGCATGCAAGATAGGCAAAGTCCTGTGCAGTACCGGTGGTCAGACGGCGAAGATTTGCCATGCTGAATGCACCGATCTCATGTCAGGAGGCAACACTCAAGAAAGAAGATCAAAAAACCGAAGAACCCAAAAGCCGTCTTGGGAAACCTTAATGTGGACCTCAGGTCAAGGTCCCACCGATGGAACCCCAAATAGAGGACGACTCGTAAAACCGGAGAAAGGTACACGAGTATAAATGACCACTTCCGTTCTGCAGCCGTGCTTCCGCGTCGTGATTAGCTTACCACACCTTTCGGCGGGGCAAAATTCCGAGGGGGGGAAAAGCGCGAAAATTTAAAGGGCAAAATTGGGTGGGGGGTGGGGTTTGCGTCCGACAGGAACACAAGTTGCAGGAGCGTCCAGTCCACGTACCGCCACTGGGGCCGGAAAGAGTGAGGGTACCTGGACCGGGGAGGTGGTGGGTTCGCTTAGGAACTTTGTGTTCCTGTTCCTATTGTCTTCAAAGGTTTCATCATATACCTACCTGCACCTAATGGTGGCAGTGTATCCACAAAAACAGTCTGGATTTTTCGCCGGTGGCATCATTTGCCCGTACCTTTTTAGAATATGATTATCATGAAGCCATTCTATAATTAAATCCCGTGAATTACATTTTATAGCTACGGATATACTAGAATCACTATGCTATAAATAGCACACAACTTCTTACTTCGCGTAAAGTTGAAGTCCAGCGCAACTGGCAATCTTCAAAGCAGCCTTTCTCACTCACTCTCATCCATCTCTCCTCTTTTAGTAATTTAGTTTAGGACTTATCCGAAATGACTTCGGAAGCAACTAGCAAGAAGCGCAAAGTGCCTATGTATCTATGCAGCTATATAACGAACGTGACCTCCATTATGCTCCACTCGCGTGACATGCATTTTTAATCAATCTGCACATAAGCGTATAAGCAATGAGAGGTATGAATAAAAACGAAGTAGATGCTTATACTACAATTTTAAGAATCTACTTCAAAGTAAATACTTCGCCATGAAGTATCCAATCAGTTCCGGTAGTATTTGCTTTACGTCGAAGTACTTACTATCGTGCCTGTAGTATCTACTTTTATTCCGAAGTAAATGCTTTAAATTGAGTAGCATCTTCTCATTTCCACAAGTTTCGACAGGTCACACTTGTTGTTTTATTTTATTTGAAATATTCGCATACTTGGTATTGTACGGCACGCGCGTTAAAATGTCTTCCGACGAGGAAATGCCAAATCAAGAAGAGTCCCAAAATGAAGATTTGCAGTTAGCCTTTGTTACGATGTTAGAAGACTACAAAATTATTCTGGATAAAAAAATGACACCTCCCGTTAAGTCTGCCAAAGACAAAGCACTTAAAGAATTCACAGAGACGTATAACAGAAATACAAAACAAAATTTAGATGCAAAACAGGTATTAAAAAAAGTTAATAATATGAAAAGTAAAATTAAAAATATTACCGATATGAAGAAAACAGGAAATAGGAAAATTAAGTTAAATGAGTGGCAAAAAAAATTTTTCAACCTATGGAATGGGAGTGAGAATCCAGTAATTCAACAAGTGCCAGGTACTGTATTATTTGATATATATTTTTTCTTCAAACGTCAGTAAATCATTTATTGCTTGACTTGTATGCGGCCACGAAGTTTTATTTTTCATCAGCCGGAGCTTCACTTTTTACTTTTCCGCGATTAATTTCTTGACATTTGAAGAAAAACAGCATATTTTACTTGGAGGAAAAGTTAATTTTCATGGCTGTCTAATTCAGGCTCGTCATAAAATCACTTTTCCTCCATATAAAATCATAATACTATTGTGGTGCAAAATTTTTAATTTAATAATGTTTTAGGAGGTGTAACTGCGGGCACCAGTCAAGACGTTGATATATCATTGACCGATGAAGAGAATCAAATACCTTTTTGTGATGATAAAGAATTAATGGCTAAATTACGAAAGAAATTACTACTTCAACAAATCAACACTGCCGCAGCTCAAGAAAAAGCTGCTATAGCTCAAGAAAAGGCCGCTCTAGCTGTCGAAAGGGCCGCAGGAGCTGTAGAGCAATTCGTAGAAGATTACTTTGCACGACAACAGGCGAGCTTTTGAATTCATTTGGATTCAAAAATACCTACTGATTAATATGTTTTTTTTTTTGTTAAAAGAGAAATAAGGTTTATGTTTATTGTTTGTATAACATGTTTATTAGGTTTAATTATTTTGTCAGAACCTTCATAAAATAAATATGTATAAAATCCAAACAATCCAAATATTTATTTACTTTTTCAACGCTGTCTGTACATTAGTGTTGCAATTTCATTTCTAAACTGGATACCTCGGCGTCGGACTTCACCGTTGTTTGGTTCGGTATATAATTCAGGCATAACTGCTTCTTCTTCTATGTTCATTTCATCAAAATGTTCATCTGGATCGTTCAAAAACTTTGCACAATTATGTAAAATAAATGCACACATAATATATCGACATGTTCTATCTGTTCCAAGGAGTTACACCATATCCAGAATCACCCAAAAGACAAACTCTTTTTTGATTATTATACATAATAGGGTAAATAGGACTATTGTACCATATTCTAGAATCATGAACAGACTCAGGCCAGGAAGCATCAACACTGGTAAACATTTCTCTGCTATTACATGTTGCTTGTACATTTATTGTAGAAACTCCTTTTCTGTTAATATACGTATATTCATCGCCATGTACATATGGTTTTATAATTTTCACGTGAGTGCGGTCAATGGCGCCAATGACATGAGGTATTGTATTATGTGCTGCCCATTCATCTTTAGCTCTGTTGAACATAGCTCCCGTAGCAGGGAATTTAACCCACTGATTTTTCTTGCTACAGATTTCACGTGATACCTTATCAATAATTTTTGAAACGGTTGTTTGATGAATCCCAACATCAAGTCCAACGCCTAACTGAAATCCAGGGTCTCCTGAAATAAAGATATAAAAATTAGATTATTTATCCTATTTCATTTATTGAAACATACCTAAGCTTCTTAAAAATACTTCCATTTGTTGGATGTGTGTAAGAGCACCGCCTCGAGTTTCATTTACTTCTGGGAGAAATATATTCGCTAGGTAAGATACGTTTTCTCTACTAAACCTAAAAGAATAAACAATTTTAAAAGTAATTAAAAACAATAATAATATTATTGTTAAATTACCGAAATATTTTATGATATAAAATATCATTATGATAGCGGCGTCTTGCATTATATATTTTTCTGCTGCGTATTCCTTCCATTTTCAGAGAAAACTAAACAAAACTAACCGTAGTATTCTCTCTGAAGTTGCACTTATACCAACTTCGCAAAAGTCAAGCATATACTAAGTTCCTCTTCAAATTAGTAGCATCTACTACAAGAAGTAGGTACTTTCAGTAAATACTACTTGATATAGTAAGTTCCGGTAAAACAAAAAGTATCTACTTGAAAATGTAGCTTCTTCTCAGATTTGAAGTACATACTTTGTAGAAAATGCTAATACTTGTAGTGTTAGAAGGTACTTCATTTTTATTCATACCACCCAATATCTGAAGTTATTTTATCGCTAGCAAAGGATCAACAGACACCACAAAACATACTAATCATGCATTTCTTCTTATTGTAATACGAGCCCCTTCCCACTTCAGGTGAAATATTAGTTTTTTTCTTATCAAACACAAATCATAAAAATTTAGCAGGGTGTTATGGGATTAAAATATTAACAATGAATATTTTTATAATATATAGTAGAAAACACCAACCCTAATCAAATTTGCAGCATAAAAATAACTCATGTTGCAATTACAGCATATCAACCTATTTTCATTTCAATGCAAAATAAGTCTATAACGCATAGGTGGCTGTGAAACATAAAAGCCATGACAATTGTTTTTATTAATCACAGCGTCAGAATACGTTTAAAATAGTTTTGGGTTGTTAAGGTTTTCAAAATGGGTAGAGGAAAGGTTATTAGTGAGAAAATTCGGTTACTGATAATTAAATTTTTTAATTCTCGGAAATCAAACTCAGAAATTGCAACTCTGTTAGACTCATCGCGGTACAGTGTGAGAAATATTGTTAGAAGATATAACGTAACTGGTACGACAACATCCTGCTCGTACAATCACCGAACTGAGACAAAAGCTTCAATGAATATGGGATTGTTTTACACCAAATTTTTGCCAAAACTTGGTTAGCACCATGCCCCAAAGAATTTCAGCCGTAATAAAAAATAAAGGTGATGTTACCCAATGGTAATCTTTCAATTGTTGCTTTGTTAACTTCGCGCATTTATTCGCACATTGTTTATTTGTTCAGATGTTCTATTAGTTATAGGTCTAAGTAATTTCAAATATGTATTTTTTACGACTAGAGTGTATCTGAAATATTTTTGAGAAAATAAATTGTTTTAGAAGTAAATAGTTTCGTCATGTTTAGTTTATAAAGGCATATTTTGGTACAAATTTTGAAGTGGGCCAACTGAAGTGGGAAGGGGCTCGTATAACAGAATAATGGCATACTCGTGCAAGTCATATTTTTTTTGGTATTTTATTAATCTTTTTGGAATGCTAAAAGCTTCTCAAAATGTCTCATCATCTATTCCTTTGTGAACAAATCCTCGAATTTCAAGGTCAATACATTTTTCCTCAGAATCGTAGTGAATCTGGCATACCCAACATGTATACCTAAGAACGCATAAGAGTTAGTCTCAAATGATTTGGAGTAATGTGGCGAAGCTAACATGTTTTATGTTATTTCGTCAATTATACATATATACATAGGTACAAATACATAGGTATGCAATTTTGTAAAAACTCTCAAAATTGAAATGACACGGGAGAACACATTATAGGGATTAAATTCCAAAGTGTTCACAAATGTTAACAATACGATAAGACTAGGAGCTTTTAATAGTAATTAGTTTACTTTTTCATACTTTCATATTTATGTCTTTTAAGTTTTGCATATGGAAATAAAACAACACGGTAGGTAGTATTAAATGAGTTTATTGTTTTTCGTTTTTCGAAGTATTTTCCACGAAGATTAATACACATCTGCATGCGCTCGAACCAATTTTTTGAATGCGTCAACTGCTTCTTCTGGAGACTGGAACCTTTGACCACGCAGACTGTTTTTAATTTTCGGGAACGTAAAGAAATCGTTAGGACTTAGGTCGGGACTATATGGATGATGGTCCAATAATTCCACGTTTTCTTCCGTTAAATACTGAGGATGATTCTTCTTTCGGGGTTGATTTTCCAAAGCTCGGTGATGACTTTTGGCAAACAAATGGTGGTATACCAATTCGCAGTAACAATCCTTTGTTCATTAAGAGGAATTGTTGCAATATGATCCGCTTTTTACACGTATGTCGCGACCATCTTTTTCGAAACACTTCGAGAACGGATGACTTTTGTTGGCTTTTCTTCACCTTGAAACACTCAAACAGCCGACTGTCGTTTATTTTCTGGTTCATAACAGTAAATCCACGATTCATCACCACTAACAATGTTGTCCACATTTTTTTAGTTTCCGGAATTCAAACGGTCAAGCGTTTTTTGACACCAATTAACCCTGGCTGCTTTCTGCTCTTCAGTCAACAGGTGGGGGTATCCAACGAGAAACTAATTTTCTTACTCCTAATTCTTCATGTTAATTTTTTTTGAATTGAGGTCTCTGAGATCTTCAAGGACGCCTCAATCTCGCGATATGTCACATGTCTATCTTCAATGATGAGTTTGCGCACAGCATCGACGTTTTCCTGGGTGACTCCGTTTTTGGTGCACCCACCCCGGGATCGTCGCTAAGACGCACCCGTCCACGTTTGAATTCTCCATACCAACGGGAAATTGTCGGCTGATGTGGCGCTTCGTTGCCGAAAACAGACGGTAACTCAGCAAGGCATTCTTGTTTCGATAATTGTCTCTGAAAGTTTTAATAAATTATGGCGCGAAAATGTTCTCAGTTGAGTTCCATTTTTCTAATGACTTGGTGATACTTAAAAATTCACTGCACGTATTGTTGTGAAACTTTGAATTTAAGTTTACTAAAGAGTGAGGTTAAGATTCAGTACTGACGTTCGATCCGCGCGGCCTACTATGTTTCTATATGCAAAACATAAAAGACATCCCTCGTATCTATACATTATTTTTACTTCCCACGCCTACTCGCGATAATCGTAAAAAATTTCGAAAATGAGATACTATGTTTTTTGATGTTATAAGACATGTAGATCACGAAAAATCGTCTCACTCATTTTCGTCGGTGTGTCGGCCTATCTATCCACCCATAACTTGGAAAGTAATGCTCGGATTTGAATAAAATTTTTACACAAGGTTATTTCTGTGTCGATAATGAAAAAGCTTGATAGTTTTTGAATGTCTGCTCAGTGCCGGGGAAGGGAAAGGCAAAGGCCAAAAACGAGGTGGGCGCGACATTATTTACACATGTATATGAGCGATATGCTTGGAGTATGATTCAATAAGCTTATTTAATTTCATTAAATAATATATGGTATAGAATAGAAGTATGTATCAAGAGCTAATATAATTAGTTATCACACATTATTGACAAGCAGTTTTACACCAGAGCTCCTAAGAAATGAAGCTCGCGTTTACGGAAACGCCGATTGCTGCTATCTAACGACTTTTTTTCCATGAAAAGCCCAACTAGTTCATCAGTGATTCTGATAAAATGTACGAATGTTTGATTTTACTACACTACATGGAAAATTGTACTATGTAGTTGTTTAGAAAGCGGAGGCAGTAGTCAATCTACTTGACGCCATTCTTTCCGATATGTGATTAATTTATTTCGCCGTTCTCAGTATCTTTGAGGATGGTGTAGCATGGTGCAAAGTACAACAACCGTCACAGTTCGCCGTAAATGTCTTTTTAGGACTCTCGCTCAAAATCTAAAAACCTGAAACAAGTACTACAAGCATATTATTCCTATACTTAATTTTCCTAGCTTTCACGCTATGAATCTAGTAAGATACATTGAAAATTATCATATTTTTAGAGACAAGAAATGCAAAATATTTGAATGTTAATATTATTTTAATGACACTTGTTTAAGATGCGGTGAGAAATGACTTTTCATTCCACCGACTGTCAACTACCACCAGCCTGTTTTTAAGTTTTCTAGCTTCCAAGCTCCAGGGGAATAGATCACCATATGCTATTAAATCCTCATATTACCGTATACCAACCGCTCAATACAGTCTCTATGTCTCAGTAAAGTGCAGCTTCTAAATCGAAACGATAGAAAAAACATTAAACTAATGAAGCATTCAAACGATGCCACCTCCAGGCTCGATTTTATCAATTTCATCCCATTTTTCTTTAGCGAGAATGCAAATGGGATAAAAGGCGGACCCGGATCAATTTCCCAATTTTCTGCTTTATCCACTGGCCGGCCGCAATCCTGAATTCTAATTGATCCCCTCTTGTTTGTTGCAGGGTCTTTGTGTGGCGATCCTGTTCTGTTTCTGCAACGGAGAGGTAGGTAGAAACACTTAGTTTTTATAACCTTTTCACTACACAAACATTCTAAGTATATGAATAAATATGGAATAAGCATAAAATATCGGGAACCCTTGTATAACCGGCACCACCATTAGACTACGAGTAATATGCCTTAACGGGTGATGCAATAATGTAAAAATTTAATTCAAAACTACGGCTCTACGGAGGTATACACGTCCACCATGTTGTTTCCAGGCCATGATCAAATCAGACAAAAAGAGTTGCTGATTCAAGTCGAAAATAAATAATCTGCCAGGTTGTTATACTCATAGTATTGGAGTTTGTCTTACCGTTTTACTTCCCACGTCTACTGGCTTGGAAGAATTGTGTCACTCATTTCTGTCGGTCTGTCTGACTGTCTGTCGGTCTGTCCGCTAATCATATAACCGTCTATAACTTGGAAAGCACCGCACGGATTTGGATCAAATTTCAAAAGAATGTAACTACTATGACAAGGACGAAAAAGCTTTGTAGTTTTTTGAAATCGGTCCAGTGGCGGAGACAAAGGCCTTAAACTAAAGAAATAGAATTCGTTCAAACTTCGTTTTGATGTTTCAAACGCACCTGATCATTTTCGGAAATTTTTTTCTAGGGGTTAAGAATTGGAGATTCGGAGTTGCAGAAGGTGGATGAGACTGTATCTCAATCTTTCGACGTTGGTATATTTATACTCCTTGAACCCCGGTAATTCTACGCAGCTATTAAAAATATTTCACTCATCATATACAAAGTGATTCACAAGTCGTGACCGAAAATGAAACATCACACACAGGACCGCATTTTAAGGGGGTCTTCTATGTAACATTTTTCCTTGGGGGATTCATTAAAAAGATACGGGGTGTTGAAGTTTAAAAATAAAAAACAATTTTTTCAATATCTTTAAAACCGTTAACTGGAATGAACTAAAATTTGATATGTGGATTAACCTAAGTGTTGTCCACATTCAGAAGGCTTTACTTAGATTCCCGTAGGTGATTCTTTGTCTCCTGCCGACGGTCTGCTTTTTTGTCGTGAAACCTGTTTTATTTGTTC